CTCCCTGTTAATGAGGGAGTTTTTCCTCTCCACAGTCGCCTGTGCTTGCTCATTGTGGGAACTGTTGGGTTTCTCTATGTTAATATTGTTTTAAGGTCTTGACCTTTAAATGTAAAGTGCCTTGAGATAATGTAAATTATGAATTGGCGCTATATAAATAAAATTGAATTGAATTGAATTGAATCTTTGCAAATGAACACAAAAAGCAGGCTTAGTGGAGCAATGAACAGCAGGACAGTTTACCAAGTCATCACCTGAGATTAATTCGATTGTTGCACATGGAAATGTCCATTCACTAAGCATGCTTGGTGATAAATAGGCATTCGCTTGTAAAAGGTAGATTGTAGCATTATTAGGCAATGAATCTAAGTCCAGCCATACTGGACATTTTTACCTTCCTATTTTCCCCATGATCTAAGGACCACAAACAGGAAGTCATCCCGGCAGAGACAGTAATCTTAACTTGTGCTAGATGCAGGCTGGAAGCTGCAAAGACAAGCTGGGGAGGGGGAAAGGAGGTTTACAGCGTAGCAGTCATAAAGTGAGCCCTGACTGGATGAGAACTTAGTGAGTGGTTGGATACAAATTTTGTTTCCTGAAAAATACCTTTAACTTCACAAATTAACTTCAATCACTGGATGTGCTCTTATGTTGACACATATTTGGGATCTAGCATGTAAAACACTGATCTTGCAGAAAATGGGGAACCAGACTGGACACGCTGACTAATATTTACTAAAACTAATATTAATTCCAACACATTAATTGTTTGTTAAAGGTATATGGATGCAGTCAGAAGGCAATATTACAGCAGGACAGCATGTGAGTGAGGTCATATCACAATGGTAAACCCTATAACATCTAGTTTGGGACCAAACTACACAAGATTTGCAGTAATGAGCACTAAAGTGCACATTCACATGCTACAAGGTATTAGGGAAGTAAAAGGACTGAAATTGTATAGCATCTTAACAACCATTTAAAGCAATTTACACTACAAATCATAGTAACCCATTCACACACAAATTCATATAGCGTTTCTCTATTGCTTAAGTTTTCTCTATCACTTAAAGCAGCAGTAAAGGATGAGGAGGATTAAATTTACACCCTGATTAGTGAAAAACCCACTCCACTTCCTGAGCTGCAGCTACTCAAGTGTCCTTTTTTTAAAAATTCCAAAACACAGTACATCTAACCTGCGCTTGATGATTTCTTTTTTCCCGGATATCACTTTATAATTCATCAGGGTCCATCGACCAACAGTCATTAGTTGAAAAGCAGTTTTTCAATTTGAATCAACCGTAACATACTCTGTAACAGTTATTAGAAACCAACACATCATATCTGGGAGGATTCTTAGTCATCCAGGTCATGGTATCTTCGCGAGTTGTATAAGTGTACAAGGCACCTCGACTTCCAGAGTAATCTTGGGCAAGTACTAAAGAAACACAGTGTGTTCATTACAGTCATAAAAGTTTTAGCCCTGATAATTAACCTGTTGATCAAAAACATTGCTCTGTGAGGATCTCCCTCTCCACCTCTGAGGCTTAGCCAGGCCTACATACTGTCAACTGCTGCCAACATATATCAGCCAGAGGTGGGAGGAAGTCACGCATGCAAGTCACAAGCAAGAGTCAAATCTGAACCTTCAAGTCTGAAGGTACTCCATAGTGACTGAGGTGAGAATTAAGCAATAGAGTCCCTGCTATTTTTTCAGCAGCTCACATTCAGATGGTGGATGTGAGCTACTACATTTACATCAGGAAGGCACCCATTGCCCCCATGATCCTCCTCAACATCCATTCCTACTACTACTATCAGTATTATTTATTTTTGTTGTGTAGAAGGTGAGATTTGGCACACTTTCACTCAGTCACTCTTTCAAAGCGTGTGTGTGAGTGTGTCTGTCTGATTCACTGAAAGCTTTAATCTTAGCATTTTATAAATGGCTTATTGTGATGCAATCATAACATATGCACATTCCGATGATATTTTTATATGGATTGCTGTGTTGTCTAGAGTCAGTCTATAACATTTGTTGTCTCACCAAGGCCACAATTTGTTACCTGCTGTTTGCTGCATATACAATCAATTTATACAATCAACAAAGCTCATGGGTGAACAATAGAGCCATCATTGCATTACCCAAGGTCTGGTCAGTGGATGCAGCTCATTTTTGTCTCCAAACCCAGCCATGACCCCCTCTTTGAGATAGAGTTCCTGTTCACATCAGTGGTTGGAAAGTAAAGCAAAATTACTGTGTAGAGTAACTGAAGGTAAACACGGAAGAGAACAATGGCTAGACATGTTCACAAATCTATTAGCCACAACCAACATTTGGCGTATTTAATTCTTTAATGAATCCAACAGTTTAAGCCATGAGTCGTGTGTTTCAGCTTACAGTCTTTGTGACTATCTCTGGGCTGGCCTCCATCTCTAAGTCAACATAATTTCTAAACCAAAGTTTTTTGCCATTGTTTTCTAGCGGCCTTACAAATTCAACTTTTTGATGCCTTTTTGATCCCACATACATTTCTTAAAACTCTGTAAACCTAATTGGGCATAATTAAGGTCATGTAAATTGTTTTCCAATTCCTATTTTTGAAATTAATTTGTATTGCAGTTCATTGTATAACATAATTCAGCCAGTGAGTGCATGAAAAGTTGTGCTGAGAAAAAGAA